GAGATTGGAATATATCCTGAATGGCCATAGGTGTTTCGTAAGGTGAAGTTGACTAAATCTTTACTCCCTTATTCTCCCGCTCCCCTCATGTTTAGGTCCAAAGAAAGCTGTTGAGCTGCGTCATGAGTGGTCATAGGTGTTTTGTGATATGAGGTTGATCTGGTAGATTTGATCCCCTTCTTCTCACCCCCTCCCAAAATGCCCAGATGACATACATCATCAATAACGTCTTATGGGGTCTAGAGTGAAGAAACCTCAGCTTTTGGCACTGGTCAGCCCTCAAGAACTTCCCAAAAAATATGTATTCGACTGAACTTGTGTCTCTATGTGTTCATTATTACGGCCTCTCGATCAATTGCCGGGAATCGGAAGTATAATGCACACAATGGATTTCCTCACATTGACTGTGTAATTAATAAACTGTGCAAGCATTTCTTCTTTCTTTTTGGGGATGCGTGTTAATCAAATGCGGGAAATGAAGAAATCTATTGAGCGGGTATGGAAACAATGATGTGTATGTATTTCATCGGTTAAGTTCTTGTCTCCGCTACTGCTCGTCGTAGACATCACGACTCTTGACTGATCCTTTTTTGCGATTTAACAGCATCTTCGTTGAGAGAAATTTTGGCATATAACGGGATGCAGTTTTGGCGCGAAGTTAAGTCGTTTTTTTGTTTGTTTATGTTTTTACGATCGCTTTTGCATCATCTCTGCATTATGCTCTGAGAATCTCGCGCCAACTCGTTCGGAATGTTTCAAGAATTTATCCGCACAATTATTTACACAGCTTTCCTGTTAGCAGGCGAAAACAAAGACAAAGAAAGCGAAGGGGGAGGGATGTTAGTGATCATGTAAGACGTATCAACAAAAAGAAAAAACAATTTAAAATTGATACTTGCCTCTTTGGAAGAGAGTGCACGAGATGTGAAATCCTGACAACAACTCGTGAAACATCTTTCGACTAAGGAAGAATAGAGTTTCAAGAAATCTTTCATTTGTTTCTGCTCGATCAGCCGATTTAGCTGAGCAGAATCTTGAGAGCTGAGTGACGAGGCGTCCATTTCGTTCGGTCGTTCGATAGATATTTAGTTATCTGAGAAGCGATCGGATGATGTACTGAGTAGTTGACCTCCTGTCACAAAAACCGACGACAGATATGATGGTATTAAGTATTGTCAACGGGACTGGACAAGGAATAGGGATTGTCAGGAACGTCCATCAGATGTATTGAACTGGGTTGACTGATTCGAAACGACTTACATGCTTGGTACGTGACGACGGTAAATTTCCTTGTTTCTGGTCAGTTCTTGGTGTGTGGGTCAATCGACCGAAAACTTTTCAGGACCCCTCCCAACACCCGATGCACACCTGTTCGGGGGTAACCCGCAGGCTACCCGGGCCTGATCGGGGATGGCGGCGCCCTTCCTCTTTTTATCACTCCACTTTTTTACGCCTTCTTCCCAAGCTTAGCTAGGCCTCCACGGCAGGAGCGGTAGTGAGCATTGGAGCTGCCCACGCCAGTGGAGCTCCAAACCTTAGGGTGCAAGTCCTTCCTGGAAGGATTTCAGAATTGGGCTTGAACCCCGTTTTTTGTGTATTTTTCTGTCTATGTTCTTCCTCATCCGTGAAAAATTTCAAAGTACTAAGATTTATCACTTTGTTGGAAACACTAATTGAGAAAAGTAATGAAAAGAGTATAAAGAAATGAAGATGATTAAATTTATACCTCAGAGCAGGAAGTATGGACACTTCTCTTAAGAATTATAGAATCAAACTAAAAGATAGAAATTGAAAAATAATCCTCTGCGTGCCATCTTCTTCACGCTGATCTGCTAGGGAAACAATCTTCTTTCTTCTGTTTTTTCACATGAGCCGGGTTCTTTCTTTTGTTTATTCTCTCCTCCTGCTTTTCTTGTTCTAGTCAAGACTCATCTCCTTCTTCTCCTTTCTGACCAGTAGAGTTCTTGTCCTCTATTCTGCCTTCTTCAGGTAAGTTGAAAAGGTCTGTTGATATGAGTTTTTGTCAGTGTTGGTTGTTAAATCTGGAGTAGATTATTATTGAATCTCACCTTTGGTTTTGCCCAATGTTCTCTTCAATAGACTACTTTGTTTGAATTGGTCAATTCAAATTCTTCTTGTTGCTATGAATTGTGATTGAATCTGTAAGTGATCAAAAAAGATATTCTGCTGTTCAGCCTCAGAAATTTGGACCACAAGCTCGGCAGTCATATGTTTACCTTTCTGAGGTGATGGAGAGGATCCCCGCACCCTATTCAGTCATTCACTCAGATGGCATAAACCCAACCCTGCCCTGCCCAAAAAATTCAAAATTGACATGGGTGATCTAGCTAATATTATTGCAGTTTTGAACTCCTGCAGATGTGTAGAATTCAAAAGTGGTTCTTTTTTTTTGGGGGGGGGGGTGCATGCATGTTTTCAGACATGCCTAACAAAAGTCAAACTTGGGACTATAACTATGGGATTACACAATGGAAATTTGTAGTGTTATGCCTCTCAGACTTTCCTGTCATGGCTGCTTATGTATGTGATTGTTAATGCCCTACGGTATGTAATTAGCATTTTGAAGACTGTTATAAAGAGCCTAAAATTCCTAGAAAAAAATAACTTGTTTTTTCAGCTCCCACATCCGGACATCCAAGAAATCCAGGGTTGGTTTATGCAGTCCGGCAAATCTGTACATGCCTTGGAAGATGGGGCCTTCAGGCTTCCATTCCAGTTTTGCCTAACCGCAAATGTGATACTCGGATAGTTGACCATGCCTTAAACCGGTCGCAAAGCGTTCAGTCTTCGGGTTAAATGACCTGTGAGTGGATCCGGCCCTTGACCAGATCCATGACCTTTGACCGGATCCGGAGCCACGCGGATGCTCGAATGAGCCCAAGATCGCGTCCATCGATGATCGGGTGCAATTCCCTCCAGCTCGATCGACTACATTCAACTCTTCTTGTTCCTCTTGTTATTTATGTATGAACTGCTTCAAGTCACCCAACACTAAATCTGAGGCTCAATACCAACAACACATTCGAGTCAAACCCATTCTGTATTTCCCTCTAAGTACTTGGAAGATCCGTGTTACCACTCCAGCTAGAATAGCAGCGACGTCATCATGCCACAAGAAAGGTAAGTTTGCTTTCTTGATCAGACGATTAGGAGTCCTGACTTCCGAAAACCGTATGAGCAGCTGACACTCAATCCACACACTCCAGATCCAATCCTCGCTGAGTTTACTAATCTGAGCAAGAAATACGGTCTATCGTCAAACGATGGGCGAGGGACGTATGACCCAAACTCACTTGACAGGGGTTTCTCGGCCCTCTCTATCGACGAAATCGAACCCCAGGAAAATCTGTTGAATAAGGTGGTCCATCGTTACTGTCTACCACAACTCAAGGAGCAAGTTCAGACCCTCTCAAGTGCGCTTGCCCCGTCCGAATTCGCGAAACAGCCGGAGATGATGCGCCAGGTCATCTTACAAACCCAGGCAGCAATCGACAGGATGCTCCATCGAACCCAAGGCGTCCTCGGTGACATCTGTCTACCTCCTACCGCACTGATGTCCTCGTTAACTGAGCGAATGGATGACGGGGAATTCAGAAGCGTAAAAGCTTATAGGCTTGACCTTCTGAAACCCAAATTCAATGAAGAAGTACTCTACCACCTCAACCAACTCTTCACTCGGGGCCATACACTCTTTCAACATATCCAACTCGCACCAAACAATCTGAGACCCCAGGAGCTCGATGCATGCTCTCCGAGACATAAATTCCTCCAGGACGTAGACCGTGTCACTAGAGGCATCGAAGCAACGATCAGAATCCTAGAATGCTCAGAGCTCGAACTTGCCCAAGAGCAGTGGGTCTTCGAGCTCCCCAAGATCGATGAAATGACGCACGAAATCATGGGCATCATCCATCGCCATCAAACCAGACAAATCAATACAGAGCCAGCTGCAAGGAACCCCGTCGACCCACCGGCCATCCAACTCGCGAAACTTTCACTTCCATTGATCAAGATCGTCAAGCTTTTCTTCACCAAGATCTCCGTGAATCGAGGCATGAATCGAAAACTGCTCCCGACGCTCAGCAAGATGAGTTCGGGCCATATCCACTGCATAGCTCATTCGCCTGGCAAGATCCATGGAGACATCATCCAACTCCTCCTGCTCTTACAACCAGCGGCCGCTGAGAATCGCTTCAACGCCGCTACTTGTCAGCAATACATCAAACTCATCAATCAAATCAAAGCCGACATAGATACTCCTTCACTCCATGTCGTCCAATATTGCCTGCCTTTGCTCACTAACACTCCTGAATTCCAAGCGCGTGCTTATTATATCAGGTGGTTTGAGACTTGGGATACTCTCTTTGATTTAGCTGTTCGTAACTGTAAACGTCGTGCTAAGAAGTTAGACCCCTCCCGACCCGTTAATAATTAGTTCGCCCTTTCCTTCTTCTTCACTTTTGAAGAATTAATAATCGATATCTGTAAAAAAAAAAGTAATCAACATGAATTCTTGGATAATTCAATATAATAAACAAATCTTGCGCAGTGGTCCAATGGGCCTTTCAGCGGGCCCGTGCTTTGTTCACAGCCCTGTGGGTGATATGTCCCCATGACATATTACTTTACTCAGCGCGCCACAAAGGTATCACAGCTTTTTAGCTGAGCGGCGTATGGGCCCCGGGAGTCGCCTCGGGGGTATCCCCTCGCCCCGGGGCTTCGTAATATAACATTGTACCCTTTGTGCCACCAACACCAGCCCTTCGTTGATAGTGATACCAAACCAACTCGAATATCCAAAAACATCATGGCCGAAGAACAAGGTAAGTTCTCTTGCTTTTTTGATCAGACCAACGATTCTTGAGCTCCATGAACGCCTATCCGCTGACACTCAGTCAACCCACTCCAGATCCAGTCCTCGTCGGCTTCAGCCATCTGATGAACAAATACGAACCAGTGTTCTTTGGGCAATGGAGGGATGAGGAAAACCCTCCCGAAGAAGGGGCTTCCTCAGGCCTCTCGGACGACGAAAAACATAAAACACTTCAAGATCTCTTGGATTCGATGAAGCATCGTCTTCTTCCCCAGCTCAACGACCAACTCACCACGCTCTCAGATTTACTCTTCCCATCCGCCTTCTGGAAACAACCAGAGATGACGCGCAAACTGGTCTTGGAAACTCAGCCAGAGCTCGAGAAGACGATCGATCAGATCCAGTCTACCATCGCTACCCTCTGTCCCCTACCCACCCTCTCCACTTCAACCCGAACAGATGACCAGGATCTCAAAGGGTTGAAATACTACAGGCTCCAACGACTCAAGTCCAAATTCAATGAAGAACTCTTGTACCATCTCAACCAACTCTTTACGCGTGCCCATTTCGTCTTCCAACAAATCCGCCTGGTGCCGGATGAAGTCAGACCCGAACAGTTTGACGGATGGCCATGTCGAGAAGAATTTGCCAAGCACGTCCGTCTAGGCTCTGTTACGATCGCCTCAATCGTCTTCATGATCGACTGTTCTGAGCTCGATCTTGTCCAACAACAATGGGCACCAGAGCTCCAGAATATCGAAGAGACGATGAAAGAGATGGGCGGGTTGATTGCCCGCTCGTCCTCCGGTCGACCGAGCCCATTACCGGTCGAATTCGAAAAGTTGGGATCCTTCAGCACGCGTCTGCCGGCCAACATACCTCCGAAAACAATGGTGATCCGGCTAGCCCAACTGACGCTTCCGCTGGTCAAGATCAGCCGGCTGCTGTTTGCCAAAGTCTCGCGACCAGATGAGGATACAGATCCAGACGGAGGAGGGGAGCGGCTGAATCGAGTAGGACTGCCGTTGTACACCTCGATGGACTCGGCCCAGATCGAGGCCTTGGCCGACGCCGCTAATCGCGTCCATCAAGACCTCGCCGACCTCCTGGTGATCCTCCAAAAAGCCGCCAATCGGGCTACCGGTCTCGGCGCCGGTGAGACTCGTCGCGAGTTCTCCAAACTCGCCGTCTCCCTCAACTCCCATCTCAACTCCCCCTTATCCCTCCTGCGTAAATACTATCTCCCCTTGATCGCCCAGATCGAAGGGGTCGACGCGCATGCTTATTATACTACTTGGTTCAAGAATTGGAAGAGCCTCTTCCAGAGAATCCTTTTCAAATATCAACGCGTTGCTTCAGCTCCACACCCGTTTCTTTAGCTCTTCCGTTCCTTCTTCTTCTTCTTTCTTGTTGTAAGATTTGTTGTTGTGAAACATATAGATATGTATATATGAACGGTCA